TTTTTTTTTTTTTTTTTTTTTTTTGTATTTTGTCGAAGTAACCTTAGCGAACTATCCAAGTTTACCGTCCGCGACAGGATTTTCTCTCTTCCACCACCTCCGGCTTTTGCTCCCAAGCCACCTCTCTCTGTGAGTTTAACCCCACTTTTCTAAATGATAATAATACTATTTTTTTAAAGAAACTGAGAAATCCCTCTCCTCTGAGGCGTCCTGAAGGGAGCTAAGGCAGCGTTAGCATCGTGCTAGCATGACAACCAGAAGAACTGCCATCATCACCATCCTCCCCTGTGGCTTTGCTAGCAGCAGGTAAGTTGCAACTCAAAACTCCGGCTAGTTTTCCCCCCGCGTCGCCTCCGTGGGAATCGGCGTTTTCCTCTCCCCACGTCGCGGATAAGTTAGTTGCGAGCTCGTATTAAACTGTTGGTAGTCTGTCCGCAAACTGTTAGCTGGCTGGTAAATGGCGCAGGGTCAGGGTAAACTGGGCTAAGCTAGCGTCGAGCTAGCAGGCTGTCAGCTAGCCTCGGTGTCGCTGTGCTAAAACACACACACACACACAGCTGTGGTCGGATCTTTTTGGTATCGAAACGAACGATGGTAAAAGCTGCTTTTGTGCTCGACTTGGTGGAGATGCATGCTTGTCTTCCACGTTTTCTAAGGCGATTTCTGACTCTTGTTTCGCTGTCGTGTCCTGCTCTATTTACCCCTCCACTCTTCCATATATGGGTTTGCACTAACTGTGATGTTGAAGCTACAAAACTTGTTCCACATTTTTTTTCCCTACTAACACACACACTCCAAAGGAAGTCGCTTGTTAAATACAGTCTCCATTTGAATACAGCAAAGGTGAAGTTGCTACTGCGTGTGTGTGTGAGGTGTAGATAATTGTCAGATCTTGCTCGACATTTTCTTCCCCAGTGAACCCGCATATTTCATGGTTCATGGCTGTAATTTGAGCCCAGCAGAGAAGAAAATAACGTGACAATAAAATGCCGAGACATGGCACCCTCCTTTGGGGCTGATAAATCATGTGATAAATGCGTTTTTTGAACAGATGTGACTTCTTCTTATTAATGATGTGTTTTATATTAGTCTGTCTTCTCTTGACACACTGTTTCGCAGGCCTCCATTATGGTCCACAGATGTGCGTCTATTGCTCCCGAATGGATGATGATTATCATGTCAGCCTCCCACATCTGGACCGTTCGCTCGTGCCCACAGGAATCTTCGTGCACCCTCACAGGTTACTTGCATTTCTTATCATTCTACGTTGATACGATGCTATGTATTAACTACACATGTTGTCACCCAGGATATAACAATATAAAGCACATGTGGCTGATTTAGAGCTGCTTATAATTTGCATTTATGGAGATTATTTGAGTGGCATTGGACAGTTTGTGCTGCTAAACTCAACCCACAGCTGCAACTCCTCAGAAAGTCACTTTTGCACAAGCTCAAACCAGCACCTGATTGGATCCAAGTGATTTGAACACGCTGTAATGCCTGTTTAGTGTGGCAAAAAACAAAGTGTAGGCAGCGTGACCAGCCTGCAAAACCGATGTTGCTGCATTCAATTGTGGTGCCACCCAAGTGGGAAGAATCCTCACGTTTGTTATTGCCGTGACGAAAGGCAGAGCTCTTTACAGACTCGGCTAACAGCCTTATCTTTTGCCATTTAAGGTGAAAAACCCAAAGTGCCTCCCCGCGCTGCTTTGCTCTCCAGTGTCCTCCTCAAGTTCTATCTATTAGCTTAGCTCACTGAGAGGTCAAAGGGGCATCAATAGGTCTAGCAAAAACAAATGGATAAAGTTTTCTTGCATCATGTGCAGAAACGGGTTTGAAAAGAGTAAAATTATCAACAGCATAGTTTTATGCATCCATCATTGGATTTGCTCTCATCCTTCAAGGAGGAAGTTTGTCTCTTCAGAGATTTTTAAATTCATTTTACATATTGATTCTTGGGCTGCAAGGTGGAGCAGTGGTTAGCACCGTTGCCTTGTAGCACGAAGGTCGCCGGTTCCCGTCCCGGTGAGGACACCCAGGATCTTTCTGCGTGGAGTTTGCATGTTCTCCCCGTGCAGCATGGATTCTCTCCGGGTTCTCCGGCTTCCTCCCACACAGTCCAAAAACATGTTGAGGTTAATTGGTGATTCTAAATTGTCCGTAGGTGTGAATGTGAGTGTGCTTGGTTGTCTGTCTCTAAGTGTGGCCCTGTGATGGACCGGTGACCTGTCCAGGGTGTCCCCTTCCTTCACCCTGAGTCAGCTGGGATAGACTCCAGCCCCCCATGACCCTAGTGAGGATTAAGCGATGGATGGATGGATGGATGGATAGTGATTCTGGAAATACTGAAGGTTTCCATCTAAAGCAATTAGAGTGATAATATTAGGAAGAACTACTGTTGTGGTGATGTGTGGAGAGCTCAGGCTACTTATTTGTTCCATTTAAATCAAACTACAAACACTGTTAGGATGTCCAGCAGCTGTTGGACTAAATATCAAGCATTGGCAAGCTATTTCATTTAGATAACTTGGAATGTGGTGTGATTATTTGCGACAAACATTTAGCCTTCAGCATATCAGAAATCATTGAGTTTGTTAGCTTGTAACACCTGTGATGGATGTGTGTTAAGGAAAGAGTGTTTTTTTAGGTAATTATCTAGTAGATTGCAGTATTACGTTTGAGAAATGTGACACTGAAAAAGGTTTCCAACAGACAAAGGCAGGACATATCACAACTAAGAACATGTCAATAACATGGTAGTACAGTAGTAATGTACAGAAGGAACTCTCAAGATGCACAGTTTATCCTCCTGTGAAGCTTCAGCTCCACTTCCACATCTGACAGTCACCAACAAGAGGATGAAGCTGGCATTCAACTACACGACACTACAAATTAAACAGTATTGCTTGTGTCAGTTTATCGTGCTTTCTGTTGCTTGGCAGGCCTTGAATTCTTGTGTTTTCCTCGTGTTGTGGTCATAGCAGCTTATAAGGACTATTTAGAAACATTATTTTAACACCACAGCAAAGGATTAAACACAGATTTAAAAGAGGTAAGTTTATGTAGCGTGTTCTTGCTGTAGGACTGTTCATGGATTCAAATAGGCCAATATTCATGTTTTTTTGTCTGTATCCATGTAGCCTTTGCAATTTGGCACTCGTAATTTTTATCAGTATCTTTCAGTTTGCTTTCTGCAGGGGTGTACTACGTAGCAGGTTCAACATAGCCAGGCTTTGTTTGTGTTAGCAGACTCAACCAAACCTAAACCCCTCCATTAGAGATCATGTTGGTTTTCCACTTTCGTTGTTAACCAGGTTTTCTTCTTCAGGCTCTGTGCACGCTCTCCAAAAATGAGACATATGAAATGTTATTAGACTTTTCGTCAGCCACCTACTTCAGTCAAAGGAAACTGGTTGTTATAATGAAGAGTTCTGAGGAATATGAAAAAGTTATCACGGCCAAAAGCTCTGTTAGTGCCAGAGAGGAATGCTGGTAGAAAACTGTTAATCGTGTAAGTTATTTTACCACGCAGTGCTTTCTTGATGCCTGCCACTTGTTTTTAAACACGACAGCTGCACAGTAGAGCTTTTAAACTTTAAACTTCATACCTTTAAACATGATATTCAAGGAGGTCTGACACTTTCCTATAATGAATAATATGTGGAAATCTCTTCAGTTTTTGGCTACTTTAGTTGTATTAATCGAGTAAATACCAATAAACTAATGAACTGTCTGTTCTACATTCAGTGTAAAATGAACTTTACTGCAAGTATGGACCATATATGACATTTATTCAGTTTTTGCATCACCGACTGAATCACATGGGTTCCCATGGCAATGCTATGCTACCAGTTTGTTGACTGTAAATGCATGTCTTACAAATGTACGACTCAACAACTTTGCAGATATAAAGTTGCCCCTCAGTGGGGCCATGTGGTCATGAAAGGAACTGGTTTAAAAAATAAAAAAAAAAGGTGATGCTCCTTTCAGCCCATTTAAATCCCAAAACATAACCAGGATAGCTGTGCAGCATCAGTTACCATGGTGATGTAGCCAGGTTATGACACTGAAACTCTGACTTGAGGACCTCGTTAAGCCTTCATCTTACATCCCTCTGTACTGTTTGACTTAAAGAATAACTACAATCAATTAACACAAATATAGACAGAATATATAACTACATTTATCATCCTAAGGCTAGATTATATAGCTTTTCTGCACTGGCTTTTTTTCCCCTGATGCATTTACAGTACAGTATTTGAGTCAACACAATCTTTTTATTTTTATTATTATTATTTTTTAGCTTTGATCATTTTAATATGTCTTGTGCATTTGCCTGCAACTAACTAAAGCCATTCACTTCTAATCATAGTGGAGAATTATGCTGCAGTTGCGTTTTGCACCACATGGTGGCGATATTTGCAAAACAATTGCATCTAATTGGTGGAACATGTCATGTTGTTTTTTTGGTAATTTTTTAACACAAAATGTTTTGTCCTTGCAAGGTTATAAAACATCCCCACATCGCCTGCTCCTTATGAGCGGTGATTTATTCTCACTTAAATATGATTTATTTTAATTCCATCGGCTGGCGTTTAATCTTGTTTTCGTGTTGTTGTTTTTTCTCTGTTTTGTTTATTTATTTATTCTGTTTTTTTTTTCCAACATGGAGAATATACGTGTGTTTTCGTACGTCAGCATCAGTCTGGCGTATTACAGGATGAGAACATCCCGAGCCCTGGGAAGTTCACATCCCCTTCATCAGCATCCAGCATCCTTTCTGCCCCCACCGTCGGTTCATCTGCCCCCCTCCCCTCCCCGCGCCTCCGTCCCTCGTACCCCAAAGGGTTTCGCGAGCGCGCACGCGTGCGAAACTGCGTGGGAATGGCTGTTTGTGTGATCGAGGGGGTTGGGCCGCTTGGAGCGAGCGGAGAGCTGCATGAGTTTGTAATGTCCGCCATGTTGGCCATGGCGTATTGAACCGGGGAGGAACAGCGGAGCCTAGGAGAGAAAGAGACCGACAGAGAGCGACCGAGACCCGGGCCCGCCCGGCTCTGTTCGCGCTGCTACGGACCTCGAGCCTGCCCTCAATCGACCGGCTGACTCCCGAGACCCGTCACAGATTCATCCATGAGAACTCGAGGCAGACCTGCTGTTATTCCTAGCAGACCGAATAGATTTATGCTGCATCTTTTATTATAAAAAATGAGTAAATTGTCGTTTCGGGCACGGGCGCTGGATGCTAGTAAGCCCCTGCCCGTCTTCCGCTGCGAGGATTTGCCGGACCTGCACGAGTATGCCTCAATCAACCGGGCAGTGCCGCAGATGCCGACTGGGATGGAAAAAGAGGAGGAATCGGTATGTTTTTTCATTGCTGCCCGACTGGCGGTGGATCTCTTTGGCGGTGTTTTCGTATCGAGGGGCGCCGCTATGTTGCCTGCGCAAGCTTGTGCAAAATGGCCGCCATATCTGCTCTTTTCGTGCACACGACAGATCTCGACGAATACTCGATTTTGCCGAGCCGTTCCGCCGCGGGGGTGGTCGCGAGGCCACCGCACGGCGATATTTTATTCTTAAGCCGGGTTGTGTCGGTTTGTTTTCCACCAAACCGTGCCCGAACGCACAAAGAAGTCACGTGACTTGTCTCCGTTCCACCATTTTGTTGACTTTCTCCGTGGTGAAGGCGAGCGGGGATAGGCCTTGGACGTGCTGTACTTTCCGCGAACGGGTGCCAGGGGGAGACACTGAGCCTCCTCCTCCTCCTACCTCTCCCCCCCCACAATCTCTCTCTCCAAAGCCCGGTTTGACAGCGAGGTGTTGCGTGTTGACAGCTCCAGCCCTTGCCATGTGTGCTGCCTGTTCGGTCGTAGAATGCAGAGAAGGCTGCGGTGGATGGGGAGGAAAAGGCAACACTACACATCCCCGCTCTCTGTTTTTTAATAATAACACACCTGCACAAGTAGAGCACGTTGCGAATCGGAGCCTAATGTGTTGTGACACGCACGGCACAGCGGGCAGGGTTATCTCAGAGGAAGTGTTGCATGTGGTTGGGTCAGTGGGTGCACGGTAGTGGTGGTGATTTTGTTGATTTAAAGTGACAAGAAATGCAACTTTGCACCGACAACAACTGCAAAAAATACTCATTTACGTAGATAGACATGCTTTTCTTTAGTGTGCAGCTTGTAAACATGTGTAACTGTTTTGTAATATTTATATATTTGTGTGATTTGAGTACACAGAGTCCCTTTATGTGCAGATGTCAGTCAGAATATTGTTGCCTAAGCTTCACAAGTTAGGTTTATTTACTTGTGAATTGTCTTTATTTGATGTTTTTGTGCACTGATGGTGTTGTAGCTATATTCAAAATGATTTTAAAGTGGCAAGAAATGCAAATTACACCAGTAATAACTGCTCAAACGTGCCTTTTTTTAGTGTGCAGCTTGTAAACACTGGTGATTTCAGTGGCTATTCTGTAATATTTATATGTTTCTGTGATCTTAGTACACAGAGTCACTTTATGTGCAGTTGTCATGCTGGATATTGTTGCCATAGTGTCACAAGTCAGCTTTAATGACTTGTGAATTGGCTTTATTGGATCCTATTAGTCACTGGGTGCACAATGATGCTGTTGTAGCCATTTTTAAAGTGATTTTATTGATTTAAAGTGACAAGAAATGCAAATTGCAACAGCAATGGCTGCACAAACTGCACATTTCCACACGTGCAGACATGCTTCCATTAGTGTGCAGCTTGTAAACACTCGTGAGTTCAATGACTATTTTGTAATATTTATATATTTCTGTGATCTTAGTACACAGAGTCACTTTATGTGCAGTTGTCATACAGAATAGTGTTGCCATAGTGTCACCAGTCAGCTTTAATTACTTGTGAATTGGCTTTATTGGATCCTTTTGGTCACTGGGTGCACAATGATGCTGTTGTCGCTGTATTCAAAGTGATTTTATTGATTTGAAAGTGGCAATAAATGCGATTTGCACCAGAAATAACTCATAAATTACACATTTTAATAGATAAACATGTGCATTCTTTCATGTGCAGCTTGTAAACACTTGTGACCTCAGTGACTATTTTGTAATAATTCTACATTTCTGTGTTCTTGGTACTAAAGAGTCACCTTATGTGCAGTTGTCATGCAGAATACTGTTGCCATAGTGTCACCAATCAGCCTTAATTACTTGTAACTGGCTTTGTTGGACCCTTTTGGATTGCCACTGAGAGATGTAGTAATATTCCAGATCAGTTAAATTTTAGGATAAAACTGGGATTTGTGTGATGTTTGCTTAAGGCTTTAGCAGGAGAATCTCTGCTGCTCCATTCTCTCTTGTGTAGTAAGTTGGTATTTAATGTTAGTCGTATTCAAATCACAGGCAAACAGAGATTTACATTGTGCCTGCAGAACCTTAATGATTGTAAAGTTGCATGTAGCCTCAATATCGCCTTTGAGTTGTGACCACAACACAAACAATGTCACTGCTCTCTGTTTACATTCACATGCAGACCAGAATAGACTTATCAAACTAACCCTCCCGATTTACAGTGTTTACCTGAGCTGATAGCTGGTTATTATTTCTGATTGTAGACGGAGCATTAATGGCGAGCTGTTATTTACTACCCCGCACGCTCTGCTGAATTCCTCTCAGGCACTTCTGTGCCGCCGAGATGCCTCAGCAGACACAAACACAAGGAAAGCACAGACGGGGTGCAAAGTCAGCAGAAATCCTGCCCCCCTGCCGGCCCTCCCCCACCTACTGTACACATACACACAGCGGCATTACATAACAGTGTGACAGAAGAGATAAAGAGGACAGTTTTACTACAAGGCTGTGCATGGCTTAGCTCCCTGACCCACATCCTGTCCGGCAACAATGGCGCGTTGCTGTGCCGAGCTGACTAAATGACCACATGCCGACTTGGGAATCATGCTAATTTACGTAGCGAGTAGGGACAATTTGTGAGCGTTCACAGCATGTGCGTTCACAAGTCGTGTTTAATACATCGTTTCACCTTGCAGACGGTAAGCTGGATCTATAGGCAGTTGACTTTCTGGGCTTATTTGTGTCATCAAGCGCCTTTGTGCGTGTGCCTCGGCGGCGCTCGCAGCTTCATACCTGACAGAAATAATTAACCTCCAACAAAACAGTTTGTGCACCGTGAGTAATTGCAGCCGTGCAGGAAACATGGTGTTTAATTCACTAATGCTCTGTGCTCGCACCATTATAGTGTAAAACAGCTCACCTACAGTCCCCCGCTGTAGCTTTTCAACTGTCATTACTTTGACATGTGTTTTATATATCGATGCTGCCCTACAGCTTGTACAGTTAGTGCACTGTGTACATGCATTTTCATAACAATGACTGTCACAGTGACGTTTTCACCCATAGTTTACTGTGTAGAGATGAAGTCTCAGGAATCTAGGAAGAACACAAGATATAGAAAAAAGTCTTGCATATGTAAGTTGTTTGCATGATTAATGCAAATCAAGTACAGAAAGAGGAAACATTAGTTTTGTTTCCCTCAGAATCAGATCTATCAGACATGCATACGCCACGTCTTTGGCTATGAAGTGCTTACGTGTCAAATAATCTTAAATTAGAAAATCGTCTTTATGCTCTAAATAAAGAGAACTTGCCTCAATGATCACTTCATCTTCAAATTAGTAACACATCCCTACACCAGTTGTATAGCGCCTATGCAGCAACAACAGCACTGTGTTGTACCTGGATGAGGTCATTTTGGGGTTTTGTGGTTGCTGATTAAAGGGAAAATTGATTCTGCTTTGAATTATAGATGTTGTAAAAACATCGATAACTTTTCCCCTACGTGTTTTATTGGATGTAAAGGAATGTTGTGGTACCAATTTTTTTTTCCTGCTTTGTGGATTTTCCACGAGGTGTACGCCTCGGTTTGCTGAACCGATCGCCGTCCTCGAGACTTCCTCGCCGTCCTCCGGTCGGCGTGAGCTGAAAACACCTGCTGGAGGCCGCACTTTTGTTGCCATGGCAACTTTTATTGGAGTCATCTATTTTTCTTGGGAACATTTAATGGAGGGAACGCGTGGTGCTGTGAAAAATAGATTTTCATTTGTCTCTCCACTATCTGCATCTGCGGCCGTGACAAAAAAGCAGGACTGCCACTGTGAAAGTCTCTACAGTCCCAGAACATTTTGTGTAGGAAGAACAAGAGAATCGGAGGTTCAATATGAGTTTGTGTTCTCCGGGGCTGGAGGCAGGAGCAGTTAGGAGCTACTCTGGAAGCAAAGGGTTTTGTCCCCGCTGTGCGTCTCCTAACAGCCTGCATTAGCATCCCCCTTGTTTTCTCCTAAAGTCTTGTCTTTTCCCGTCTTTATTTGTTTAATAGACAGTTTTTCAGCATCAGCAAACCATCAGCTTTTCCTGAGCAAACAGTACGTCCTGCGATAACCAAGTTCACTTCTTCCCGTGCGCCATTCACAAAAGCCCTTGATCCCCACTCACCCAATTCCTCAGCAGAGGAAATCCCAGGCCGTGAACCGCGGTTGTGAGGATCACAGCTGCGAAAGATCAGGATATCTTAAGGTCAGAGGAGGCTCAGGGCAGCCTGCCGCAACCTGCAGCGGTTATATCCTCGACAGAAGCCTGCAAAGGCAGCTCTGGGCCGGGCTTAGGTTTAATTGGCTCCTTACGTGCACTCCATGCAGGTTCCTTACCTCAAAAAGCTCAGGGTTCATCAGCATGTCAGGCAGCGGGGGTTCACAGAGGGCAGTTTTTTATGTGTTAGACGCTCCACCGTGTCTGCTCGTAGAGTTTACATCAGGTCAAACTGCAGACAGCTCTGGTGAAGCAGTCGTCTGTCCTTGTTTGTCAACAGAGCGACGAAGCTGCAGCCCATAAAAACACGCCAGGTACCTGAGTGATAGCAGCAGCAACAACATTTATGGATGTTTGGGAGAATTTCGTTTTATAGTTGAACATCGTGGCACTGGATTGGACAAGTATGTTTCATGCCCAAGTTTATTACTACAGATGTGTGATAGTTTATTGCTGGCAGCATGCACCGTCTAAAATAGAATTTGCTGCATTCTCAAAAGCTGTCAGACTGCTTTTAAATAGAGAGCACGGGAATTATAAGTATGTTACTGTAACTCAGCTGCATATTCGAAGCCTGTTGGTTTGCATTTAATGTTCTACGTCATTGAGATCTCTGGAATGAAGAACCACAGCCTCTGTAGTTTTACACCAAGCCGTTTTTAGACCGGCTAATCAAGGGGTTGTTAAATGTATGATGACACGAAATTGTCGGCTAATTGCAGGAAGTTGTGTGTTCGTGGGCAGCGAAACACGACCGCGCGAAATTTGTGGCTGGACAGTCTGCACACATTGCAGCCGTCGTGGCCAAATACAGCACTTTGTTTTCGTCCTGAAGCTGTGATTCGAGCTTGCGAACGTGCCGAGATCATGCCAGCTTAAGTTTGTGATAAATTCTGAGTGATTTGCGAGCACACGGGGACGTGTTTACGCTCTGTTGTGTGTTTACATCCCACGTTTGTTTAGAGCGACGAGTAGGCTGGGCTTCGGTAGGTCGCGGGTGTCGCCTGAATCCTCTCGTGAGCACTTTCACAGCTGACACAATAAGCAGTTTCCACCGTGTCGTGGTTGTGGAGAAAGTATACAGCGCCGGGCTTGATAAGCTTACCAGGGGCAGATGGTTCAGCTCTGGGCACATGCTGTGTCCTTTCATGCCAGCTCACAGCTCTGATATGGTTCTCCTGTTACTCCACGCAGAGCTCCTCATGGCTTTGGATTGTACTTAAGGCCCTAATCACTTCAAGCTCCCACGCAAGTGTGGACGAGCGCACAGGCGAATAGTTTTCAGGTATTGGAAAATTAGCAACAAAAAAAAAAAAGATACGCTTTCCTCGATGGTCACGTTTGCCAGACGCAGTTGGTATGTCGTTGAACACTGACCCATATTTCAAAATCCGGCCAAAGAAACCGTGGTTGTGAAAAAAGTGTGTAATGTGTAAAATGAGTAGGAGCTCTGTTAAAATACTTGTTAGAGCAAGACGGGTCTCAAGTCAGTTTGACTGAATTGGCCATCTGTTGCATCAACTACTGAGATTAGGCCTACAAATATTGGGCACTACAGAGTGAGAACACATTAGCGATGAGCTGCATTGCCTCGATGCAGGTCTGAAGTGAGTCGTGTCGTTCAGTCGTAACGATGTTTGTGAAGTAATATCAATGATGTGTTTTCCAGACGGTGTAACCGGTCTGTGTTTATAGAAGAAACAGTCACATTTCTGTGGGATTCTTCCTCGGTTCAGATTTTTGAGGCGACTATCGGATTACATAATACAAAAACATTCTGTTCTGGCGGAGTTCAAGAGTCAAACTGTCTGAGTCATTTGCCCACGTCCTTGCTTGCGCTGCCAAGTTAGTAGAAGTTCCAGATTTGCCGCTGGAGAGACTCGCAGGTATTTAAAATATGATCCCGTGGCTCGTGTGCGGCAACATTTCCGTAAACTTTCAGCTTGCTGTTGTTTTTTTTTCTTTCTCCTTCGGCTAGTTTTGTGACTCGTTCCGCTCGAGAGTTGCAGCAAATAGAAATGAGTCACTGTTGTGAATGATAGTAGCTGGAAATGACGTCTTTCCCAGAAGAGTACAAACTTAGAAGTACAACTGTGAAGCTCACCTTTCTAAACTCGCTGACATACAACCGTGCTTACTTTAACTCCTACACCGTTCTTCTGCTGGTGACTCACTTCTCTGAGATACGTCATTGTTGGTATACAATATATGGGAGTTACATATTATGACAAATGGTGTGTTCTCGCTGCTCCGACAAGCCTAGACTAATGAACACAGATCACATTTATAACCAGAACTAAGAAACGCCGTAATAACACTGGAAGATGATCACCAAAGGAACCGGATTTATGCGGCTGTGTGGCTGCTGCAAGCCTGTCCTGTTGTTAAACGACTGCCGTAACGTTTTGCACTTAATTTTAATGATTAATCAGAGTTATTTGGTTTCATATTAGTGATGCATATTACAGCTGTGTGCTACGCGTTGTGCAAGTATATTATGCTGCTAGTCTGATGAAAGGTGTGGTTTTTAACTCGCATAATGTGTGCCGTTTTTCTGTGGTCGCGCTGAAACTCAAGACTTACGCTTCGAGCCATGTTAATTATCCCATCAGCGCCGTTATGTTCTGTAAGTGCTTGGTTATCTTTAACATCTGAATGGTTTGAGATTGTTAATCGTCTGAGAGAGGCTATATTCCTGCATTCAGTATGTCTGGAAAATGACAAAATCATTAAACTCACAATGAGACTGGTATTATTTTCATCTTTTAAATCAATCTCGCTCGTCTTTTTTTTTTTTTCCCCTCCCATTACACACCATCGTACATATCTGTCGATGCATATCCATGTAATAAAGTGAGATTTCTGAGAAACACTTTATCTCCACGGGTTGAAATGGCTGATATTCGGTTTGTTCTCGTGAAGAAGTCTCTGGAGGGGAGGGGGGGGAACAGTACATGACTGAATCAAGAAAAGGATCTGTGCACAAGGGTTTAAATTGCAGTGTATTTTCAACAGCTGCTTTTTTTCCCCTCTTCTTGCAGGAGCACCATCTCCAGCGGGCCATCTCGGCGCAGCAGGTATATGGCGAGAAGCGGGACAACATGGTTATCCCCGTCCCCGAGGCAGAGTGCAACATCACGCACTACGAGTCCCTCTACCCCGGGGAGTTCAAAATGCCAAAGCAGCTTATTCACATACAGCGTGAGTAGCAGGCCGCTTGCAACTGGATTATCGTCTTAGCCGCGTTAGTGGTCTGCGAGCACGTGGTGATGTTGTTGCCATTCAGATGCACCGAATGGGTTTATCCTGCCGATTGAGAGATTCGTGCGCTTCAGTTTGAGGTATAAAGGAGGAGCTAATTAACGGGAACTTCTTTTTTTTTTAAATGTGTTTTTGCTGTCTGTGTAAGTGTGATTTGTTTTCTGCTCCTCACAATGAAGAAATAAGCACCTGAAGAAGGGTGCTCAACAAAAAACAGAACAAAGAGAAGCAGTGTTTCTCACCAAAAAATACGAGAACAGATTCCTTTTGTCTGGTGTGTACTGCAGCAATTAGATACACTGTGTTTGAATTAGCAAAATGTCAAGCTGAGGGGCCGCTGTTGCAGATGTTTTCGCCATAACTTGGCAGCGCTGTTCTTCAGTTATCCAACAGTTTTAATACGTGACGGTGAGAGGGAGTACTGCATACCTTTCCAAATGCCCCAGCTTTTTGGCGGATCATTGTGCTAATTATAGCGGCGGTTTTGATAGTGACTGTGCAAATAAACATACTTTTTGTTGTTCGGCCACGGGTCACAAGAGCTGATGGATTACAACAGACAGTCACTGTTAGCGTTTTACCAGACTAATATGTCGTTTTCTGGAGAGTCTCCAGGCCATGGGTGGAAAATGTGGCCAGATCGGTTGGCCAAAAACCGTATGCCCCAGGCTATATTTATGAGCAAGTGGCTGGTTAAGATCACAACATGGATACTCGTGATAGTCCCGGAGCAGTGCTTTATTGAGTTTGCGAAGGCACATCGCTAAATATGAGTGCAGAGCTTTGTCGTGACAAAATGCAGTGTTTATTTTTTGAGCAAAGTTTGGCAGCAGATGAAGATAAAGGCTTCAGAAATTCATACCCCGTGGCTTGTGTTTGTTGACTTTGCTGGAAATACGCTGTTGCTAAACAGAAATGACGCAGAATTATAAATCCATGTCACATTTTCGTCTCAGTCTGAACGTAAGAAACGAGTTTGCCGGGTAAAGATAGAAAAGAGTAGATTTTGCCAAGTGAAATGCCTACTATTTATTTCATATTGATTCATCAGTCTGATGCTCGGTGCAGCCTGCTCTGGTATTGTTTACAAAAGTGATGTTTGTTTAGTTCAGGCAGCCCTGTTCCTGGCGATGCCTTTGAAATAATGCAGCCTGTGTCTGTCTCTCCAGTAACCAACTCTTCTTTATCTCACAGCTTTCAGTTTGGATACAGAACAGCCAGACTACGACCTAGATTCGGAGGATGAGACGTTTGTGAATAAGCTGAAAAAGAAAATGGAAATCACCGCCCTGCAGTTTGAAGAAATGATAGACCGACTGGAGAAAGGCAGTGGACAGCAGGTATTTGTCACCCTGTGTGGGGGGAAATAGTGGTTTGCATGGGTGCAAATACATCGCCGGCTTTACTTTACAGAGTAAATATGCCCACTGAGGCAGGTTTTGGGTTCGTCTGCAGTGAATAAAATTGTGGTTCTTACCCTGTGTTTTAGTCATTTTAGAGGTGGGTCACTCCCGTGGTCCTTTTGTTTTTAGTCGTCAGCCTTTCATCCTCAAAAGTTGTTGTCATCTCTGACTAATAAATAATCTACTTAAATTCTGATAACTGTCAAACTTAGAAATATAATTATATGCTGTGAGCTTAGAGGCTTTTTAGTTGTTTAAAATGTCTGTAGCTTGTCTTTTATGGTTGTTATTTATTATACTTTGGCCATGCGAACAGTTGTCAGACCGCTACGACTCCGGCCTTTGCACTAACTTGTTCCCGCCTGTCCGTTGCCTCGCAGCTCGTCAGTCTCCAGGAGGCCAAACTGCTGCTGAAGGAGGACGACGAGCTGATCAAGGAGGTGTTTGACTACTGGAGCCGCAAGAGGAAAATCTGTAAGGGTGGCTGCCTCATCCCCAACGTCAAGCAGGAGAAGAGGGATGGATCTAGCACCAGCGACCCTTATGTGGCCTTCCGCCGACGGACGGAGAAGATGCAGACCAGGAAGGTAGGACCCTTTGGACGAGAGAATAAGACCGGCGAAGGCAAATAGAAGGGAAGAGGCTGGGCTCTTCTACCTGTGATGCACATATTACGGTTCCTGTGTGACCTAATGGTTAGGGAATTATCCGATTTCTCAAATGGGCATGTTTTGTTTTCACACTGTGGCAGTTTTCTACCCGAGGAAGCAGCTGCGGTACTATTAGCTGCCAAAATGCATTCCCCCGATCTCTCACCTTCCTTCAGAAAAAGCCTTTGAGGGAGAAAAAGTAATTTAGAATATCTGCAGTAACGTGGGACCGTAGTCGTGCTTTATGTAGAGTCCATTTGGCTTCGGGTATTGCACCATTATAGCATAAAAGTTTCAGTAACTTGATCTCTGTGAAGTTTCAGTATAAATGGAAACACATGTAGCGTCGCTGAATCAGCACTCTTCCACTTTCAGAATCGCAAGAATGACGAGGCGTCATACGAGAAGATGCTGAAGCTGCGCAGGGACCTGAGCCGAGCTGTCACTATCCTGGAGATGATCAAACGGAGGGAGAAGAGCAAGAGGGAACTGCTGCACCTCACACTGGAAATTGTGGAGAAGAGGTAAGAAAGACCGAAAAAGAGTTTGGTTGCGCTTGTTGGAGTTGACTGCTTTGTTTGGGCCAGTAGCTGCCATCAGGGAGGCTTTGGTGTTTCAGATGAATGTTAAAGCACATATATGTTGTTTTATTAGATAATATTGAGCTTTTGTGTGGTTGTTTTGAGAGTGTTTTTGGATTTTAAGACTCTGTTCTACCACCTTGAAGCTGAGATGGTAGCAGACCTGTGGCGATTCTAAGAGCTTATGTGGTGAATCTTACTGTTTGATCAGGGTTTTGTTTACTCATACACTTAAAATCCAAAGCATAGAGCACCTGTCTGCATGAGTGATTGTATAAAAGTCAGCCACATATTTTCTCTGAGGTCAGGCTTCGCTGCTCCTGTTAATTGGGGGCACTGCTATATACACTGTTTTGTGTGCATTATCAGTTAAGAGTTCACCCTATTTATTCAGCGGTGTCAGGACCAAATTAGTTCTTTGACTTCTTAGTGCCTGCTGGAGTCTTGTTCTCTTCAGTCTGTGAGGCAGTATTCTATACTATATGTTTCTATTATAAATTATATGTTTGTATAGATAAACTTTCTTTGTTTTCCTGGCTCCACTTTGAATTGTTCTGGTGTGTTTTTTTGTTCTTCTTTTTTTTTCTTCCCTTCCCGGTGGAGCCTTTGCGATCCATCTAAACATGACATCCGAATGGAATGAATTTCCTCTGAAAGTAGCTGTCAGCGTGAGCTTAAATTGGACCCTTCTCCTTGAAGTGCTTTTGATTTGTAGTGACATTTCAATTTCCTCTTGTTATCCCGGCCTGGTTTCTGCCTGCGCATCACCACAGCTAGTGTTCGCTCCCAGACTGGACCGCTCTGTTCCCAGTGGATGGCTTATACAGACCGCTTGATGATGTTATGCTGGTTTTAGCGTGACCCGGGTTTACTGTGCGGTGTTTGCAGCCTGTCAGTGGAGTGTCTAGGAATCTTCCTGTGCACTAAAGTTGAGGCTTTATTGTTGTTGGCCGTGGCTGCACGGTGTTGACAGTTGACTATTAATCTCTGGTCATGTTGCTGAGCGCTGGAGGTAAATTACAGTACAGTATGCACAATTTTTCCTTCTTTTTTATTAAATGGTTTTGATTTCCAATGCTGTTCAACTTAAGGATGAAATTAGCTAGAGTTGAAGTTGCAACTAAGGATGTTTACTGCTTGTGCTTTGCTATTAAACAGCTGAAATGTAAATATTAAAATTGCTAAATTTCTCGTTTTTGTCCATCAGGAACGCGATGCCAGACTTCGGCAGTGAGGTGATGGCAGAAGCACTGGCGCAGCGAGCTCTGGTGAAGCCCGTCTACACCATCCCCATCATTCCCCTGTCCAGCAGTAACCAGTACAGACACCAGGACCATTTGGACATGAAGGACTACAAGAAGGTACGGCGGCGCACATTCACAACACACCTGCTTCCTCCTAATAGCGTCAAGGACAGTGTGAGAAATCATTTCCTTCCTTTCAGCTCTAAATCAGCGCGGGTGCCTGCGGAAATATGAGAAATGTTATTGACTTTGCATTCACCTGAGTCAATTCCCACGTCAATGACAGCTGTTCAATGCAGTGCACTGTAGCGCACATTGTGCGCTGACTCAAAAGAGACTGTGGCATTTTCATTTTTGAAAAGGGACTTAATTTGAAATGGCAACTATGTATAAATTATTGAGAATCATTGCCTTACTGGGAGCACATTACTGATTTTTAATTGGAAAGGAATGGATATTAAAAAAATTTTTCCAAGCTTGGGTTTTCAAGTAGTTTCACTTTGTTCAAAAAGTAAGTGTATATTCTTCCAAATTGAGAAAATAATATAACATATAACCATCCAAAGGACCAAAAACATGAGAGAAATATGAATAACCCCCGTTTTTTTTGGACTAAGCCCTTTAAATTCAAAAACATTCAATATAAAGCTTGGTTTCCATATGCTTCACTATTGTTGCACTTCATTACACAGCGGTGTCGTGAACTCTGGGTCACCTCTTCTCATTATAACTTCATTAGCTCCAGTGTCCAACAACTCCCCCCCTCCCTGTAGGGAGACATCTATTTCCCCCCTGATTTTGCCCCCTTTTTTCCCCCCTCTCGTACCAGCTGGTTGACTTTTCCCTTTTGTTTACAGACGCTTATTTTCGGTTTAACTCTGCCCCTCCTCCGTCATCACTCTAACCCCAATTTCTTCCATTGATTTGACACAGCAGTTCTTCACTGTAGAGTCTCTGCTCCTCCGTTTGCTTTGTCCCCCGAAGTCTAAGGACTGAATAGATTCTGACTAATCCTGGTGGAGTTGGAGTCTGTTCAGACAGGGAGGGGTCGTCCCACTGGGGAAGTTGGGGTGAAAGGTGGCACGGGGTGGATTTGGGGAGAGGGGAGGCGGGGAGGACAGCCATCTGGCGAGGCAGCGGCATCTGCCACGTGCTGCCATCTGCATATCAATGCCTCTTTTACTCGCTGTTGTTTCTACACACACACACACTCCTCCTGCCCGCCCGTGCATAGACCACCAACACTCAATTACCACCGAGGCTGTTGTTTTGCATTTGGAAATGCCCCCCTTTTGATTGCACCGACCGCAGTGTAAACATGTTGTCTTTCCCTTCCCCTCTTCAAAGCCCGAGAAGACGGAGGCAGTACGAACCAAAAGGAAATACGAGAAGAAACCCAAAATCCCTCCGCTATCAGCGCCTCAGCATTCAGGGCCCTCTGTGTTCAATCCCAAGGACCTCAACCAGTATGATTTCCCCAGCTCAGACGAAGAACCATTCTCACAGGTAACCACAAAAAAAAGAAAATGTGATTTAGCCTCCATTGTGATGGGGTTTGAGTACAGTTTTCATTTGGAGACTAGTATTAAAAACGAACAAGCACAAGGAACAGAAAATGAAAAGTGTAATCACCAAGCTAATATTGACTATGCTTCAGCACCTCTGCACATCATTCTTGGCCGGTAATAAAGTCTCTCTGTCAGGTTTAAAAGGGTGTGAGTGAAATCCTCAGCTCTTCATTTACTTAAGTTTTTTGTTGTTGTTGTTGTTGTTGTGTCGTATAGATCCATTCAGGTTCCTCAGAGGCAGAAGAGGAGAATGACCCAGATGGCTGCTATGCGTTCAGAAGGAAGGCCGGCTGTCAGTACTACGCTGTGAGTGCCCTCCTGTGACTCCATTGCTTCTATTTATAGTGCCAACAGCAGGCTGGCCAGTCTGGCTGCTCTGCCTGTTAGTCTTCCACACTCTGCTGGACAGAACAATGCAATAATAAACCTGCCTTCTCCTCTCCCGCTTTTCTGTATTTGCTCTCGGTTTTAATACCTGATGTTTTCTCTTCCTCCAGTCTCGTCCAGACGAGAGTGGCAGCTGGCCCTGGGTGAGCCCATCAGAGGGCGGGCTCGGCGACCCACGCTTCCGCTACTGTCTGACCTCGCTGAACATGCCGCGGCGCTGCATAGGGTTGGCACGGCGTCGCGTGGGCAGAGGGGGCAGGTGAGTTCAGGCTGGCGATTCGGTTTCCACTAGCTTTGTGATGCGATGCTTGAACTCCTATGCAGGCACGGACGCAAAAACAGATTGTTTCCAGCTCGCTGGCTAAATCAAAAAAACGACTTGTGATGTGTGGCAGCACTTCAGATTTTTTGGATCTTCTCAACCAGTGCGTGCTGCCGTCTGTGACATGAAAGTATACCAAGGTTGGTCGTATTTATGATCACACCGAAATCTTCAAAACCAGAGAAAAACGTAGGAATATGAGATGCGTGGAGGAATGCTGCCAGTGTCAATACTGAGACGGAGAAATTCAGCCAAGTGTTGGCTGTGGCTGCCGAGCTTGTTTACCATACCAGCTCGTTGGCAGGTTACCAGCGACCAACAATTGGCAGGCGCGTTCTATTATAAATATCAAGCTGGCTGGTACAACGATGAACACGACAATCCCGTTTTGGGGATTCACCTGGCCCCCGTGGCCCGTAGGTGAATCAGCAAACTTAGTGTTTGTCTGATATCTTCTCAGCAATTACACAGGCGGTTGAATAAAACAGTGGAGCAGTTAGCCAGTGGTCCCTTGGATGCCAGGTGTATTGTGAAGGAGACCAACTGGGTCACACAGTATCTGTTTCGGCAGCACATGAGATAAACAATGCTCTGTGTCTGTCTGGGGTGAGCTTATCGGCTGCCCCAAGGGAGAGTGAAGGGCCGCTCCACGTCTGAATGAAAATGTCTTGTGTATTTATGATAGCCAAACACGGAGAATTCGAGTCTTTGTTTATTTACATGATAGTGGTCAGTTTGTTGGTCTATGTTGGGGCCACGGTGAGAAGGATTTCTTCAAATTTCAGTCCAGACATACATGAATATATTTAGACAAGATTGATCTCTCACTGTATGAAATGAACATGTTACAGACACTAGATAGAAACGAGTCACGGAAGAAGCGAGAGCAGAAATACAAAAGTACTCTGTGTTCTTACAATTTATTGGCATTCAATTTATTGGCATTCCCTGGCAGCGCACTGCACAAATTTCAATATTACAACATTTTTTAACAAAGCCACTGTAAAATGTTTATGTAGCTTACAGCATGGCTTTTCTTCTGACACCAGCTTCAGGTAAACTAATCAGATTGGGCCCCACTTGTGGAAAGGCTCGCAAAAAACAGCGCTTACCTCTGTTTTCTGGATTTTAACAAGCGAGGCTCACGAGGCTGCAATATGGTCGGAAACTACTCGTAGAGTCGTCTCATTACATAAGTGTTCTGTTTTGTGTTCATGGAAGGACTCGATGTTTTTTTTTTTGTGCAACACTCAGCTATATTTGGTACTGGCCCCACTGGACATTGTAATTACATGAATGGTATTCAAGGAATAGCTACACTTGCTGCAATACTCCAGTCGTAGCCAGAGGATGTTGACGTTGTGCCGTTTATGGCTTCAGCATGTTTTGTTTTTTTTGTTTTTTTCATGTAGTCAGACCTCAGATGACTCCAGGTTTGTAAACAGCTCACTGATTTATTATGAACTTTGGGTTTGTTTGCAGGATCTTGTTGGACAGAGCGCACACAGATGTCGACGGCATCTGCCAGAGCCTGGACTCCGACCCAGAGCCCGAACCACTCGCCTCACCACTTCCAAGCTCTCCGCTCCGCAACTCCAACGCCAGTACCTCAGAAACCAATACCTCGGACCCAACCAGCTCCTCCCACCTTCCCCCATCTTCATCGCCCCTGTCGTCGTCAACTCCTATGGACCTCAGCCAGATTCTTTTGAACATTAAATCTTGCCGCTGGAGGCACTTCAGACCACGGACGCTATCCCATCACCCTTTGGGTGGAGGAGACTTGTCTCGCAGAGGATTTAGGGATTTTAGCCGGACAGTGTCAGGACTAACCCGGACCCTGTCTGGAGGAGCCAGCTCCCAGAACCGCACCGGCCCAGCCGCCACTCCTGTCAATGGTAAGTCTGTGGTTTCCTCTGCGATGCTGCTTTTCTCTTGTGTCTTTGGTATTGTGCATTTCAGCCTTGTGGTGTGAACACAGAGCTCAGCGTTGTTGTTTTATTGCTTTGTAAGGAAAGGTTTCAGGGTATCACAAGTCGCTAATTTAATAAAAATTAGGAAAATGTGTCATTCTGCAAGGTTAGTGATTCTGGCAGTAATTTCCAGGAGTGAATTCAGCAAAGCCTGATCGCCCTTTGTGCATTCTGCTATAATTAAAGACGGAGCTGAATTCCGTTTGAGCATCAGTCAGAAAGTTTGCCTTCTGTTCATTTCGCAACCACTTTAATTAAATGTCAGCATCCATCTCCGCGGAGCCTCGAGACTTGTTTGGAGTATGGTTTCCGTGGAGCGGCTTGCTTTTACTCTGGAACCTGTTATAGTTGTATTTTTTTTTTTTATCGGTCTCCTTGATTTGTGTTGATGTTTCCAGAATCTGGTACTTTATTTTACATATCTTTTGGCTTCGCCCATTAGAAAATCCTCTCTGCCAGACTCCGGCTCGTCTCTTTGTACAGAAAGGACAAATTGGAGAAGTGCTTTTATGGTGTGAATGCAGAGCGGTGTAATTGAAAGTTTCTCAGTGCATGAAATAATGTTAGCTGCTGTTGTTTTCTAGGTTTTGTGCGTGTGAATATTTAGTGGTGGACTAAAAAGCGAGCTCAGTTGTGTTTATTCGAGACTTGCTGCTGCTGCTGCTGCTCTTGTGTAACACTTTTTGATGAGGTACCTCAAAGTTAGATTGCTCTGCTCCGGCCTGGGCTCCCTTGCTGCTGATAAATCACATGAACTTTCAGCTTTCATACCCTCTCTCTCTACACCATAATACATGCTTATGTTCCCCAGGCTTGGGGGAGTCAATTAGAAATGGTCTTGTATAAATAGATTTGCGATATGTCCTTGAGTGCATCTGGGCTGGGAAGAGGGGAGCTAGTTGGCAACTATTGAAAATAATCACCAACTTCTTTGGTAATCGATTATTTGGTTTGAAAACTCTCTGATTCCAGCTTCTTAAATGTGAATATTTTCTATTTTCTTGACTCCTCTGTCAGAGTAAACTGAATATCTCTTGGTTGTGCTCAAGACATTTGAGAAAGTTTTGGGGGAAATGCTCGTTAACGTTTTTCACCATTTTCTGACATTTATAGCCAAACAACAAATTGCTCAACCACGGAAATAATTGACTGATGAATCAACAGAGAATATAATTATGTGCAGACCCAATTTAAACCGCACCAGGCTGGTCTGGAACGGTCGTGGAATGTCAAACTAAATTATCGGAGCTATGAATTTCGCAGAAACCAGACCGAACTTACCCCAAACTTCTTAAATCTGTCAATACTTGGGCAGGTTCTTCGGGGAACGAGTAACTGATTTTATTGTGGAGCAGTATTGTCAGCAATTTGGGGAAACAAAAGGTAAATGTGGGCAATGCCACACTTGAGAAACTGAATTTGTGCAATAATCCTGTTAAATGGTACGAGACTGAACTTTTAATGAAACTGTGAGTATTTGAGTAGATGCTGAAAACTGTCAGAAGGTATCTAGCTTTAAAATTGTGCACTGGATGTGGATGTTCCTTGTATAGGTCTGTACTTTTTATCTTTGTGATTGATGCCTTTATTCGGAGGAATAATAAATAGTTGCCACCTTGGGGGTTCTCTCAATAATTAAAGTGAAATGAGGTTGAAAATAAATATAGTTTGTTGTAGAGTATGCCCACAGCATGGCCATCAGTCGGTCGTGGGTATTCCTTTGTTGTGGTGGGTTCCCAGAGAGCCATTTGTCTCAGGCTTAATCTCAACACACGTTTGTGAATTCAGTATTATTTTCTGTCGACCTCAGTGTTGTCAGAGGAAGTGAAATCCAGTCAGTGAAGACTTATTTTGCATCTTTCTTTTGGACTGTCGCTGATGTTGGTGGTTTTTGTCCTGATACTTGCAGAACAATTTGAAGAACTGTTGTTTTAGTTTTCGAGCAGTGAACTCTGAGTGTTCGTCGTGACTTCCTGGGACACTTGAATAACAGAGATCCATCATTAATGTAAAGAATAAGTGACGAGGGGTAAGCGATTATTAATAATCAAAGAGAACGATAACTATAGAGTTGCAGTAAAAATGTAAATCTTGGTGTCAAAATTTAGAATACCATAAATTCCAACACAAAACTTCATTGGTATGCAATTGTTTATATACTGTAAAAGAGAAGTTTTAAACATTCCTTGAGTTTTGAAAAGCCCTTAGTTGTGGCATGTAATTAAGATCACAGAGTTCATAGTCACAACTAGTGCTGGTCCGAATAGCATTTTCTGTTCTCCGGATATTCAGCCCAATGAATGATGAATATCCCGAATAGTTGGGAGAGGGGTTGGGTGAATATTCGATCAAAATTGATATCCCGATTCCAGCACAGCGAACGATAGGGCTGGACCCGAATAGCCGACTATTCGTTCGTTCCAAATACCCCCACCCCACGTTGGAACGAATACTCACGCACCACCCCCTCCCAACTATTCGGGATATTCATCATTAATTGGAGCAGAATATCCGGAGGACAGAAGTTGCTATTCGGGTCCAGCCCTAGTCACAACTATAGAGAAGCAGCTGCTTCAGAGACAAAGTAGTGCACTTCTAAATACATTTATTTTATTGGAATTGGCTAAAAATGTCACGATGCTGATAACTGGCGAAATGCTGTAAAATCAACCAACCAAAAAGCTAACATATCCGAGTTGGAAAAGGCCCTCAGTACATTGGTTAACCAGAATAGTTTGTTTTCAGTAGGGCTGGACCTGAATAACTGACTATTGGTTTGCTGTGCTGGAATCGGGATATCAATTTTGATCTCCGAATATCAGGCCCCCCAACCGCCGCCGCCACTGACACTAATAGCGGATACAGTACGACAGGGGTGTCAAATCCTGGTCCTCGAGGGCCGCAATCCTGCAAGTTTTAGATGTTTCCCTCTTCCAACACACCTGATTCAAATGATCAGGATCGTTATCAGGCTTCTGCAGAGCTTGATGATGAGCTGATCATTTGAATCAGGTGTGCTGGAAGAAGGAAACATCTAAACATCTAAAATATGCAGGATTGCGGCCCTCGAGGACCAGAGTTCCACACCCCTGCAGTACGGTGACCGTTGATGGCGGAAATGCCCGCTCACTGCTGCCCCGTTGGACCAAATGCTCAGCCCCCCACCCCACTGCCGCAAGGCACCCCCAAATATTCGGGATATTTGTCATTAATTGGGGCCAGATATCCGGAGAACAGAAACTGCTATTCGGCCGTAGCATCTCCTCAGTCCTAGACAGTTTTTAATATCTTGCACAACATTTTCCTTTGAACTACAAAATAGCAACTGGGTTTGATACCCAGCCGTAGTCCTGATACCTTTTTTGAATGATTATTGTGCAGACAGATTTTTTTTTTGTATTGTCAACATTGGCTTCAGAGGTCTTTCTATTTCTGATGCAGTGGAGTACCAGCTTAATATAAAAACCTGAAGTATGTGCCACCTTGCTGTTTGTTGTTTGCTTCTAGCGAGACACTTTTTTTTTTCCTGTGCAGCACATTGTGTTGACCACACAGCAGCTAAAACACCTCGTCGCTTTTACTTTATGTGCATATTCAGTCATGCCTCCGGGGTAGAAACCGTTGTGTCCGTAACTTTGTGCTCGATAAGCCTTCGAACTGGACTTTCTAGCTTGTTCTTCAGTTTTTCTTTACCTTGCACTCTGCAGCGACATGCCCACACCTACATAACCGTCGGCTCGCCACATTGTTGTCTGATGGCCCCCAAAGGCATCGCTTTTGTGTACATGTACAGAAAATCAAGTTATGTCTGGACTATTGCGTCAATTGAAAAACATTCCTGGGCGAATGCTTAGCAAACGCTGTTCTGTGTAATTAGGAAGTTTTAAAGGTGCCCAAGGCGATGGGCGATAGGCGTCTAGCTCGGTAATAACTTTGTTTTCAAAGGAAGATGTTGATAGAAGATTTATTTATCTGTAAGAGCTGATAGCGGCTTCAGTTCAAGGCAGTTTCTTGTTTTTGTTGTCGCTAAAAGCCGCAAACTCAAACGCTCACACACATCCTGATGCTGACCAGTGCGTCTCATCCGGTCCACAGTGTTCACAGCCGAGCAGTACCAGCAGCACCAGGAGCAGCTGGCCCTCATGCAGAAACAGCAGCTGGAGCAGAGCCAACAGCAGCAACAAGCCAACACCCCTGCAACAACTACCACCGCACAGGTCAGTATGAAACACACCGCCTCGATGGGGCTCAACCAGGATCGATGTACTGCAAGAGGAAGAAGTTTTTTTTCCTTACATGTGACATCGATCCTGGTCAGAAACGCTGGAAAGATTTCTTGCTGTTTGTGTCATTTTCTGCAATCTTGTGGCACCTCGTAAATATGCCGTTCTGACCCAAACAAAAGCAAACGAGAGCTAAAAACTAAATGAGCCACACAGTATGGAAATCATTTCCAGCCGAAGGTCGGTTCTACCCGTCCCAAGGAAATGGGACGCATCCTCATTCCCACGAGCAGCATTAATGCCACTGGCTCGCTTCCTGTTTGGCAGCAGGACTGCTGAGCTCAGTTGTTTCGCCAGTTTGATGCATTTTAGCAACAGCGGTCAAGTTGTTGGCACGGACTCACATGTGTGTTCTTTTCTGCATGGCTCTCTGGTTCTGGCGTAGGCACTCGTGTCCAAGACGTTGGACCAGGCCAGCGCTCAGTTTGCTGCTTCGGCCCTCGTCACCACGGACCAGCTGCTGGCTTTCAAGTCCAAAGAGGAGCTAGTGCTGGCCAGTGGAGTCAACGGGGTCCTGGCAGGCGCAGGTGAGTTTCCCTCATTATCAGTTTTGCTCATTTTATTCAATTAAACCCATATAATTATGCAGTTTTGATTACTTCTGTCCTTGTTCTGATTGGGGAAAATGATGATCAAGAAGTCCCAAAATAAATTTTAAGGGTCGCCAGCTGATTAGAGGAACATAATGACGTCTTGCTTCATTTCACTTATCTGGAACTTCAGACCTCTCAAATCCTTCAACCTGAAAAGATGCAGCTCATGTCTGTCATAAAACCGTTACATGTACCTCGTAAAGCCACTCATGAACAACCTTAAAGCTACTTCAAGGTGAGCAAAAGGTGAAGAGGATGTGTTCTGGGCTTAGTATTTGCAAATATTTGGCTTAAAATTTACAGGAATAACTATAAACTCAGTGTGTGTAGCCCTCCCTCTTCACCTCACACATGTAAATGGAGGTTGGTGGGGAAGAAACACACTGAATGAAAGTCTTTAACAGCAACACCGCTGCCAACAGCCTCACAATTACCATAGTGTTGCATCAACAACTCTGACAGTGTCAACAAACTTAACATTCTAAGCCTCACAAAGATGGGATTTATTGCAGCACCGTTGGATTGGATTGCATTAGATTGTGCAGGTGCGCTTCTTATCTAAAATGCTGTTTTGTCATTGCCGGCTGAACTTTCGGCAAACAAAAATGCTTTTTGAAATCGGTCTTCTGCGGCAGTCTTGCTGCTTCCATTTGCATTTCTGAAAGCTTCTCTGTGCTCGCCAGGTGTTTTCAAAGGCCTGCACCTCTCCAGCACCACGACAGCCCTCCACCAGACCAACCAGTCGACACACACTACCACCGCCACAGCCCCCACTTTCCTCCAGCCCTCCTCCAACTCGGCCACCCCGTCGCCCGCCAACGCCGTCCCCACCTCCCTCAACTCCACCCCCAGCGCTCACGCAGCAGCAGCGCTGGGGCTCTTGGGATGCAGCGCTGCCAGTGCCACCCCCGCCACCACTCAGGTCCTCATCGGGAACAACATCTGTCTGAGCGTGCCGTCGGCCGCCAGCCTGGCTGGACGCCACATCCCCCGGACCCTCGGCAACGTGCCACCCTCTGCCTTAAAGCTGTCCACCACCACCAACCTGCAGATGCCCAAAGTCTCCGGAGCATCCTCCATGGACATGGGCTCCAGGTGAGGCTGCGTTTCACCAGCGTGGCTGCTGTTTGTCTGCAAAACATAGAGAAAGCTAACCTGCTAGCTGAGGTCTCTTTAATTATTGTGCATAATTTATACAAAAGTGTAAAATTAGCATGCAGTGATTTTACAGTGGACTTCCTGGAGTTTCCCTTCATTGCCACTACACCAAAACAAAAGTATCCCAGGATGTCAACACATCCAGTCAAGCAAGAAAAGTTTCTGCCCATTTCCGCTCTTTATGCTAAGTTAAGCTAACAGACTGCTGGCTGTAGCCTTATGTTTGCCCAACATACACAGTGGTATCCGTCTTCTCATCAAGTAAGAAAGCAAAAAAACATATTTTCCAAAATGCTGTGCTAACTTTCTGTTAGCTTTAGCATCATGTTTGGTGTTCATAGCACTGAGAAGTTCTGTTTACTCTTTAACTTGTGGTAAGGATCAGAGGTTACTGCCATAACTTGTGTTTAGTTATTAAAAGAATCAGATGTACGGCGTTGCTATGAAGATCTTACACACAAATATAATATTAGATCAGGTTTTTCCTGCATCAGAATGGGTATTTGAGAGGTGGCTACATGGGATTATAAGCATGATCAGCTTGCGTACAGTAGAGGCTGTGAGTCTCTATTACTTTATTTGAGAAATCTGTGTATTTTTCTGATAATTAGGTCGATAAAAATGTTAATTGTGTTTGTGTAAATGACACACCAGTTGCCAAAAGTGGTTTAAAACAAAACACATTTTGTATTCTTCGTTCTTATTACATTGGTGCTGATCATTTTCCTTTTACTGGATCCCTGACACCTCTTTGCAGGGCGCTAAAAGTTCTTCTGTGCTGGAAAAAGCCTGCAGAGTTTTGATTGACTTTGCGCTGATGCTGAGCAGACAAATGTTTAGCTACGAGCTTTAATCAGTTTACACTGGAACCAAAGCTGCACAGACAGGAGTGGGTGACGAGGCGATAATTTGATTCCCAGCGTCTCAAACAACGCCTCTGTGTTCCTAACACAACAGAAAAACATGCATTAATAAAGAAAAGAGCGAGAACGCAAAGTGAATTTGTCCAAAAGAGAGGACTGTATTGTTCGACGGTCGCTGGTGTTGTAGCGGGATCAGATTAACTTAAATGTTTGTTTTTGGATAAGCAACAGTAAAGCCTTTGCATTACCAGATACAATCCCTGGTTTAAGTAGTCAGCTGGACCTGGCAGATATGATCAAAATATTGCCAGCGCAGTGTCTGCCAGAGATAATGCAGCCGCCACAGAACCGAGCCTGAAAGAAGAGCTGAAATGATGCGTGACGTCAGAGCTCCGCACACACACAGAGCAGATCTGCTGACTGAGATCTGGGACAGTTAAAGATGTAGTTTAGACAAAAGCAGATAAAGCGACATCGTTAATCTCTCCTCTTTTTTTTTTCTTCTCTTCCTTATCCGCAGGGATAATCATGACGAAGACAAGCCAGCACTGAACAGTATAGCAGACAACACAGTGGCCATGGAGGTGACGTAGTAGCGGCGCGGCGGAGAGTCCACTCTTTAGGTGCTGTGCATCGTAGCATCGGGAATGCAAAAGGGACAGCAGGACTCTGAGCAGACGAGGCAGAAGGACGAGCGGCCCGCGGCCCCTCGCTTGCAATTCTCATCTCTCATACTTTTTAAAACCATTTTTTTTTTCTTTTGTTTTTTGTTACTGTTAAAAGTTAAAAAAAAAAATAAAAAATGAAATAAAAAATATTGACACCTGTAAATTATGAATATGGCAAAAATTAGTATCTGTACAGTAACTACATATTTGTAATATCCCCTCTCCCTCTTGTATATATTACTTGAATACAGAACTGTCCATTTGTGATGTTTTGCACTTGGGAGTCAAACTTAAAGGAAAAGAGAAAAAAAAAGAAAAAAAAAAAGCAAAAGCCAAGTAACTTGTGGCGAGTGTGAGAGATGTGGGAGTTGTATAGAGAAGAGTTTTATCACATCATGTGCATGGTGCGGAGCCTGCTGTTTTTATCTATTTATTGTGCTGTGTTTACAGTTTTTTTGTTTTTCGGTTTGGTTTGTTTTGTTTATTTTTTTTTTTATTATTATTTTATTTGTACACTGTACCTTCGTTGGTTCCTGTGCTGTAGTAAATGTTAGGTAGCTACGGACTCCTGGGTATTTTTGTATATTGTGAACACAAAGCAGGTTCCCTCCCCTCCCCTCCCCTCCCCTACCCTCCCCCTTACCCGGCCTCCTTCCCACACACATGTTTATTTTGGGTCCCTGTGCTCCTCTCTGTGGATCATGTGAAAATCAGTGGTGACATACATACAGACCAGGAGAAGCAGGAGGTTGGAAGAGGAGGTGGTGTGTTGGCAGGTGACTGTGGATCCCTGGAAGAGAGGCGCTCTGCTCGGCTCTGCTCGTCTCTTCCAGGGAGCTTCCATTAACATTGTCCCAAAACACAAGTAACAAAACAGGGATGAAGTCTCTTCCCAGAAGCTTCTGCTGCTTCTGATTTAAGCACTATTTTTTTTTTTTTTGTGACGTTTTCATTTTTTTGTTTTTTTAAAAGAAAAAAGAAATATCAATGCTGCTTTTGTATTTGTTTTTTTTTAAAGGGGGTTCGTCCTTCATTTTCATGCAAGCGGAGTCCCCCTTTGTAATTGTTCTATCCGACAAAACATTTTTGTAAAACAAAAATTCAGTTATTTTTGTATTTTTTAAATTGTTTTTTTCTTTTCCTCGTTCTTGTGGTAAACTTGATTGTAAGCTTTTCGTTTATTGAAAGACTTCATTCTTTTGTTCATTTGTTACTTGTTCATGCATAGGTGATAAGGGAGGTGAATGGGCAGTAATCGCTGTACGTGTTTCATCATTCCAGTTTTTAATAACAAAAAAAAAAAAGAAAGAAATGCTAACGAGGGGACAGACGGGGGGTTGTGGGAAAACGGCAGTTTTCTCCCCCTCTTCCTCTTTTTCTTTATGTTCTTTTTTTCTTTGAAAAAAGAATCTCCAGACGGCTGCAAGGCCAAAAACCACAAGTATTTGGGTGCCTTCCTTTGGGGAATTTTATGTACTCTCTTCTGTGAAGAGTTAGGCACAAAGGCAGCATTACTTAGTAGTGCTTCTCGTCTTTGTCAGAATCTGAATGCCCAGTCCAATGGCAGGATATATCCTTGAGGTTTACTTGTCCCACCTGGAGGCTGAAAAGACTAAAAAAAAAAAAAATGTGACAGAACTCTCACTAAAATAAGACAATAAAGCCCAGGGCATTAAATGTGAATTGTTTGGACTCTGATGTCTTTTTTTATGTGTGTTTGTGGTTTTCACAGGACGGGAAACTAAAGGAAGTCAGGGATTAGTTTGGTTTGAGCTGTCAGACAGTTTCTTAGTTCAGAAACACGACTGATGCATCCTAATATTGTTGAGGAACATCTATTACAGTTTTTACAATTAATATCTATATTAAATTTAATTTTAAAATGAGCCTGAAATGGTTTTTCTTTACCCACCTCAACAGGTTTTAGCCGGTGTCCAAAGAAAATAAACGTCGCCCAAACTTAAAAAAAAAAGTTAAGGCACTAGTTTTAATTGAGGTTAGCTCATTTGTTCAAGAATAACAGACATTTTTGTTCATCAAGTAGTCAAAAAAATCTACAAAAATACAGACATTTGTTAAATAAGGTACCACAGACCCATTGCCAGTACTGTAAGTCATGCTTTTTGTTGTGTTCCGTCACCCCCAAATGCCAGCTCTGAGCCAGAAAAACACTCAACCTGTCATTTTTAAGTTATAGATCCTATAACAGTGCCATCCGTCTAATAAAAAAATGATGCCAGTACTGAGACAATGACCAAAACCTTCTTTAGCGACCAGTTCAAGCAATGCGGAACTTCTCAGTGCTAATAACAAATAGGATGCCACAGCAAGCAGCTAGTTAGCTTAGCATTTAGGTAAGTAAGTTTTTTACTTTCTAATTTCAAGCTAGATGAGAAGATTGATGCCAACCTTATGAATGTTTTGTGAAAATAAGGCTACAGCTGACATTCTGTTAGCTTAGCTTAGCATAAAGAGTGGAAATGGGCAGAAACAGCTTCCTTTGTTTGGTCCAGAGGAAAGAAAAAAAGCATCATTTCATGAAGTACTGTGTGCACATCAAGATGCGGAACATTCAGGTCTTTGAATACTAACCATTAAATTATTACATGCTTAGTAATTATAATTTATGCATTAAATTTTCACTCTGATCGTCGGTTAAACCCTTAAAAACTCATCTCTGTGTGATAAAATTACACATTTAGGAGTTCTACCATGAAAACAGTCCATTAGACGTAACTGTACACCTTTACTTCCCCTAGAATCTTCCAATCTATGTAGTCCCTGCATCTCACTCCATAAACCACCTTCGTGCTCGCTGCAGCTTGAGCGCACCAGCTCACTTACAACTGGGACAACTCAAACACTGCAGAACTAGTATGGTCTACGCAATTGCAAGTTATAATATTAAATCAGCCGTACATGTCCGAACCATAAACCAATTCAGCCAAACGATGATACAGAATTTCCTACCCTGCAACTTTCAGCTTAGTTACTTATATTTATCATGTATGAAACTTTGGAATCAGAGTTTTTGATACCGTCATCACTACACTGCAGTTTTAAGGTGGAAATGCCCGTGATGTTGACGGCTTATGTCGCTCATTAAGTGTCTTTAAGCGTTTAAAAGACACACTTAAAACACGTTAACAAGATAAAAATCATTAGAATTGCACTGAAGCAGGTTGTGGTGTTGCTTCTTGTCAGTACATTGGAGGAGAAGTTTGATTCCACTCTCGCACCAAATCTGCAGCCAGGACACACTTAGCTGAGCATGAATACGGGACCCGGCAGGTCTCAGCTCGTTGGACGTGGCTGGTCAGTCGCTCCCCGTGAAGCCACAGCTTTCATTCCTACGCTTTAGTTTGAGCATGTATTAAAATAACTGGATGTGATGTGTTAATTAGTGACCTTTGCAGGTGCTGGTAGGCAGCCGATGTTACCTTTGTACGGAGCCAGGATAGCTGTTTCCTGTCTGTATTCTAAGCTGCTGCTGCCTCCGGCTACGTATAATTATATTTAGATGTGACGACGGCACTGATCTCCTCATCAAACCTTTGGCAAGAAAGAAAAGCAAGGGGGGGAACACCTCCGCTAAAGCTAATGAATAAACACCTTGTACAGTTATAAGCCCAGTTCATATACATGGACGTATAGGAGCGTTTTTATTTGAGCAGCAGGTTTGTTTTGGCTGGAAATGACATTAAAAAAGTGACAAATGACACAGTGTTGGAGATTTTAATGATAAATTAGAACTTTTTCTGTGGGTTTTTTTTTATGATTTCACTGAAAATGCCACGTCCAAACCGACTCATACACCTTCTCATTCATTACTGGCAAAGCCTTTATTTGGCAACACATCAGTCAAACAAGTTTTTTTGCATGTCTCCATAGAAATCGTCGCTTTTTTTAAGATCTCCAGGTCTTTGAGGTTGGAAGGCTTCCTTGTCTTAAGTTGTTGACCGCTTCAGCTGCATGTTTCAGATCATTGTCTTGTTGGAACGTCCAATGCTGCCCAACGTCCAGGTTCTCCTGCAGACTTCCTGATGTTTCCCTCCAGAATCTGAAGGTAGTTCTTGTTTCTCATGACGCCATTTGGGTGAAAAACCTTAAGGCATTACTGCATTGTTGGGGTTAAAAGCTTCTCCTTCCTTTGGCTCAGCAAAAGCCCCAACCTAACGTCCAAACAACTCCTTTTTCATCTCATCTGGTCACCGAACACGAAATCCTAGTCAGGTCGAGAATCTAAACCTGAACAAGTCTCAAACCATTGAAGTCAAGTTTCAAGTCTTTCTGAGCATCAAGGTATTGCTAACAAATCTAAATTAAGCTTCTTGTTGTTGGGGTCAAGTCCATGCCAAGTCTCAACTCAGACTTCCTGATGTTTCCCTCCAGAATCTTACGATAGTTCTTGTTTCTTAGGACGCCATTTGGGTGAAAAACAACCTTAAAAAATCATGACATTCTAGGGGTTAAATGTTTCTCCTTCCTTTGGCTAAGCAAAAGCCCCAACCTAACGTCCTAACAACTTCAAGTTCATCTCATCTGATCACCTAATTGATGACCAGTAACTTTCGAGGTGAGTTTTTGAGAAGTCCTTGGAGATGCTGGTACCAGAATCGCTCAGATTCATCGTAAATGCTTCGTTGCTCATCCCTGGATTCTTCTTGGCTTCTTGCACTCCTGTTCTTACCAGTGTAGTGGTCCCGTTTGGCTTCTCAACTCTTAAAAACACTCGGATAACTTTAAAGCCTTTCCCCGTCTTACGAGGAGCCAGAAAGTGCAGCTTTTTCTCTGTGATGGACCCTAATCGCAGCCTCCCTGAGCGCTTTGGTTTTATCCACGCCTTGTAATTGAACTGTCTGGAGAACTGTATCAGCGGTTCTCAATTTGTAGTCGATAAAAATGCTCCCGAACATGGTAGAAATTACCAGGACCATTTGAAATGGAGATAGAAACTTATTGCTATCCCATCCCAAAGTCAACATTCATCATTAGCATCTCTAACACGGTGTCTTGTCGTCTTTTGTAGCTTGTTTATGCAATTTCCACCTTAAATTTCTACCATAAATCAGAATTTGGCTTTACTATGAATAATTTGGGGTGTAATTGAATCATAGCTGTTCATCAGACCCAAAACCTGAATGTAAAAAAAAGACATTTTGCGACTTCTAGACAGACTCGGGTCCTGCACGTCGTCCATTTTTAACAGTTAGTCTGTATTAATGTTGGAGGATGAATAGAACAACACCAAGTCCCCGTAGAAGCGCTGCAGTATAGATATCACTTTCTCATCAGCGGCCAAATTACTTTGAGTTTTTCAATTTAGCTGCGCTGGAGCGCTGCCAGCTTTATTCAGTCGCACATTATTTATGTTGCCGAGGAGAAATCGCTCAATAGTAAAGACAACCGGCCCCCGACTCACAATCTGCAATGTGGGCGTTTACCCCGGAACATGCTTTCTCATTACGCTAGTGGGTGATTTTTTTTTTCTCCCGTTTTTTTGGCGCAGACCTGAAATAAAGTTGTTTTTCTCATCAACTTTTCTGGGTGTTAACAGTAGCTTTGTGGCAGAAATACATCACCGACGTCCTCTGGGGAAGATAGCTGCAACCGTAGCTCATGTCTGGGAATTTTTCCATTAAAATCGCTGCACTTTATTCCCCCTCCGCAGTGACTTATGTGCGTGCAAACATAGTCTTGCAGCTTCTTTTTTTTCCTCAGCTGTAATGTAGTCCATAAGGGAACTAAAGCATGTGTGAGGGCTAATGGCCTCCACTGCAGACCACAAGTTCTTTTTTTCTTTTTTTTCGCCGTTGAGTAATTCGTCTTCTCATGCCACGTTCTCATAAGAAGCCTCTTTTGCTGACAAATTCTTTTGCGTCCGTCCCCGTTTGCTCAACGCGGTGCAGCTGTTGGCCACCACTGGATCAGATGTCCGGGTCTGGCTGCTGATTGGGCGAGGCCTCTTAACAACGCTCACACTTTTTGTTTTTTATGTGTCTCCCTGCGGTCTCAGACGACAGGTGTGAGGCCGGAGGCAGCGGTTGAGGCGGCGCTGACTGACGGTCCCCTTCTGTGGAAGGTGACTCCGCTTTCCAAGTAATCGAGAACAGGAAGCGCACTTAATTCACAAGAAGAAGAAGAAGAAGAAGAGAATGTGAATGGTAGGTTTTAACAGCAGAGCGTGTTTTGTTTCCTCTGTTGTGCGACGGTTGAAACACTGAAGCATTAGCTGTGGCCTCTCTTCTCGCTGCAGCGTTTGAACTGTGGCAAAGGAAATGAGTCACACAGCCTGCGGACAGCGAGGTGCAGCGGAGTACGAGTGCAGCCGCTCTGACGGCAGTTGAGAGAAACCAGAGGGTGAAGAGCTGCTTGAGGTGGCTGTTAACCACAGGTGAGGTGGTTTCAGTATGAATGCAGCGAACCGCGATACGGTCACCAAGCTTCGTTTGCTTCGCTGTTTGTACTGATGATGAAATAGATTTTTAGTAGTACTGGAATGGTCTTCGAGGTGGTTTTAATGTGCCATTTGTTGTTTCTAAGCTGCCATTTTCACAATATTCGTCAGTTATTTGCATTTTGAAACACACACCGACCTGCTCCCGATGTTAAAACCCTCAACAGGTGAATAACTGATCATCTCGTTACAACACAACGTTCTGCATCCTTGCATTCATGTGGAT